AAAAAGACTGACAACGTGACAGTACTTTTACATGTAAAATGTATTTGAAGAGGAGGAATCGGCTAATACTGGATTACAATTATAATAAACCCATTTAACCTTAGACCTGTTTTTCTTAAAATATCCTACTTCCCAAAGACTATTTTGACAGAGTTTCAGAGATTTTGATTTTTCCTATTTTACACACCTACTGTAAGGCGGTATTTATTTTCGACCGCTCTTAAATTTTCGCTGACAGTTTTCGATCGTCTAACAAGAAAAGCCATTGGGATATTAAACCCTACTAGAACTGCACTGCCCGCTGACAAATCTCAAGTACCGGCAAGTAGCCATTTAGATTTGATATTCATAGAATCGCCAATCGGTGATTTCAACTTTCGCCGACTCCACATATAAAAAAAACTCAAGACTATAAACTTTTTATTAGTTTATATAGTATCTTGACGCGCAACCTATTTTTATCTTGACGTAATTTGAGCTTTCGGGGACAGTGGTGACCTTGATCATTGGGTCACGCAGACGTCTTTGTTGTTGTGTTGTTGAGAATTCAAATCATCGCTGTCCTGAAATTTTTGAAGAGAAAATCTCGGCTGGTGAATTTTGTTTTAGCCCTACAAACGTTGGCATGTGTTTATTCGAGTTATTCAGAACGTTTCGTGTCATCAACGATGATACGAAGTTGAAAGAGTACTTCACCATGTTATTTAAGCTTAATATAGCGGTCTTAATTAACTGCATGTCATTAATCCCTGGCAGATACGAGCAAAGATACTAATAAACTGGACAGAATGTAGGTGAGTGTGTTCCTCTTACTTCTTACGTGGACAATAACTTTGCATGAAGCGCTTTTACAGGCAAAAAATATTTTTCTTACATTGGTTGTGAATTGACAGTCTGTGTGGCAGTAATTTATTCGACATTTGGAGCTTGTTTAGTGTATATTTGTTTCACTTTGTAAAAAACAAAATATTGAACGGCCCCAAAATATTAACATATATTTGAAGAGGAGGAATTGAACTAATGTTGGATTATAATTTGGTTACCGAAAGAGACATATCAGTGGTGATTTTAGCCTTCAAACTTGGGCATTTTTGTGTCAACAAAAAATCTCTCCAAAAAGCATAACATTGAAAAATCTGTAAAATATTCTATATTAAACGTAAGTCAGTTATCAACCCCTTGAAATGTGAAGCAGTTACTCGTATTATTGGGAAACTTTCAATTATTTGATTACATTAAGTTTCAGATTTTTAGACAAGCTTTCAAACGACAGTGGTCAAATCAAGGTGAAGTCTCCTTCAGAGCCATGAAATCTATTATTGTAGCCGTGTGCCTAAAATATAAATCTATTTAACCTTAGACTGTTTTTCTTTAAATACTATCCAAAGACCATTATTTTGACATAGTTTGGGAGATTTTGATTTTTCACGTCTTACACACCTAAGGCGATATTTACTGACAACCGCTCTTAAGTCAGTTTCCATGTAGAAAAATTCCTTGAAGATATTATGACTCAAATTTCTAAAAATGGATAATTTTCTTCTGTTGTTAGTGAAAAAATGGTCAATTTTTTTATCACCATCTTGGTGAAAAGGTCATATTTAGAAACAGACTTAGTTTTAAGACTCTCTCAATGTCGTCTACCTGATAAGTGGATAAAATTAGAACAGCTAACTGTTAATTTTTTGGCACGAGGTTTGTGTATGTCAGTTTTCCACCAAAATAGTGGCAAATCGAAAAACAAGAACATATGATTTGTAAGAATGACATGTTCTATGTTCATGGGAATTTGGTAGAAATTAAGCAATTTTTGCCTTACCCCCTTCAGAAAGAATGCAAAGATCAACAGATGCCAATGCACATAACTCGTCAGAAACGGCTTTTTCAACCCCCCCTCAGAAAATTCTTATCCATAGGGTGGTATGTTGTATATTACATGGAATAGTGCATACCATCAAGCTTGTTACAAGTTGTCAACCACTTGTTACAACAACTGGAAACAAGCAGTGGAACACAACTTGTCAACAGGTAACAACTTCTAGACATGTAACAACTTGTGTGTTTTAATGTGTGTAGATTTCGGTATTTTCCTTATGGGTGGAGTTTCATCTGATACCGTTTCTTCATTAATAATATTGATATCAGAGGATGAAGGTACACCTTTGTCCATATTCTGACAACGCACTTGAGCTCATTTGATCATACTGTTATTTGTGACATTTGTGAATGCCGAGTAACAACCTTGATGATAAGAGAAATTTGCATATTCAATATTTAATCATACTTTCAACTGTGCTACTTTCCACACTAAAACGTGTAAGTGGGTCTTTTTCCCATCAAAATGAATTAAACATAAGTCAGAACCCAGAAGATGCCATGTTTAGAAATGCTAATCTGGAAACTTCATGTAAGAACAAGCTTATTACACCAAGTATCCTGAACAAAAATGGCAGCAATCGATTGTGAAAGATGTTGATTTCTTGAATTTTCAAAGAAGAAAAACTGCAGGTTTTGGGAAGTGCCAACAAGTGGATTTGGACTTTGTATAATTTTCCCTAATTCAAATTCCTCTCGTTCAGAATAGTAAAAAGCGAAGAAGTTGAAAACATAATTATTTCAATGCCAACAGGTAAAGCTACAGGGAACGATAAAATAACAGTACGTGTAGTAAAACACTGCCTGCCTTCAATCCTTCCTACTTTAACTTCCATCATAAATAGTTAATTTAAGACCGAAATTTTCCCTACCATCTGGAAAATGGCCGAGGTTAGGCCTATCTTAAAGGAAGGTGATCCATAGCCAGAAATCACATACAGCATGCGGTTCATATTGTGGGCGCGTATTTAGCCTAATTGCATAATTCAAAATGGGGGGCATACCACTGATAAGTTAAAATAAAAACTTAAATGCTCTTTCTACTGCATTTTTTTTTTAAAAATAAGACAGAAAATACCCCTCTTTGCTTCATATTGCAATAAGCATTCAAGAAAATAAATTTTCCACGGTTGAAACGATTTTAGCGGTGAATTCGGAGACATTTTGCCACAAATGAGTATTTTAGTTTCTTAAAACTGTGATGTCAGTTTAAATTTGCCGCCACTTTTCGCTGCCTCTTCACATAATGTAGCATGAAGTACTTGAAAAGGGATTCAGCTGACCCAATAAAACACAGAAAACAAAATGGCTTCAATCGCACAGAAAACAACACAGTTTAGCAAGTTTTTGGATCGTTTTGCACAGTTTAATGACTCCATTTGGTGATTTACTACGCTTGAAAACATGGCAATTTCAGATGAAAAAGGCACAGGTTTTAAGAGCTCGTCAAGGTAAGATTTTGTTTTATTTAACAAGCCGAAGTTGTTTTGTTTCGAATGTGATGCTGGGGAAGACGAGTCAGTGCAATGATTCTCCAAAATCAAAACAAGTTCTTGTGGCAGAATGCATTTTATTGATCATTTCTTTACAAAAGCGATGAGAATTTAAACTGCTATAACCGTCCTATATCACTTTTACCTATACTATCCAAGGTATGTGAACGAACTGCATTAAATCAATTCCTTCCATATCTTGAATTACATGATCGAATATCTGTGAAGCAGAGTGGCAATAGGGAATCACATTCCACTGAAACAACTATGATACATACAACAGATGTTATTTTGAATGCTATCAATAAACAGAAAGTAACCGCTGTGGTGCTTTTGGATATGAGCAAGGCGTTTGACAGTTTGAATCGTGGGATTCTTCTAGACAAATTGCAAGATGTTGGTGCTTCGACATATGCCTTAAAGTGGTTCGAAAATTATTTGTCCAATAGGAAACAGGCCGTGCGCATTAATTCCCACAGGGCAGTATATTGGGGCCACTCTTATTTACGATATACGTTAACGATTTGTCAACTGTCCCTAAAAATAGTTAGTTCCAAGTGTTATGTCGATGATACCAAACTGTTCATGTCATTTCATGTTCATGATTTTAATAACACTGTCATTTCCATGAACCAAGATCTGCTTGGTATTCACAACTGGTGTTTTGACAACTGTTTGTTATTGAACCCAGGTAAAACTAAACTGATTGTATACGAAAGTAGACAGATGATAGACAAGTTACTGGAATTTCACCTTTCACTATTGGGAAACGATTTAGTACTAGTACAGACTGTGAAGGACCTCGGAGTGACCTTTGATAAAAACTTAACTTTCAATACCCATACAGTAAAAACCGTTTTTTCATGTATGTAAGCACTTGGACAAATAAATCGGGTGAAACATGTTTAAAAAAAGAATTATTAGCAATGATAATTAATGGGCTAGTATTTAGTAAATTATATTACTGTTCTTCCATTTGGTCTACCACCACCGATTTTAAGATTAAGAAGTTTCAACGAGTCCAGAATTTTGCCGCCTGTATTGTCACTATTAATACTAGAAAATATGACTACATAACACCAGCTTTGAAAAGCTTGAAGTGGACACCTGTCAAAACTAATTTGTATTTTAGAGATGCTGTAATGCCATTTAAATGTATGATGGGTATGGTTCCAGAATACCTAAGCAACAAATTTAGCACCAGGAGCAGCGTAAGCAGACGAAAAACAAGAAATTGCGAGTAATTACATATTCCATTGTGTAAGACCAAAGCAGGACAAAGATCATTCTCTTATAGAATTGTCAACATATGGAATAACTTGCCATTGTTTGTGAAAACAAGTGAATGTCTAAGTACTTTTAAAAGTAATTTAAGGAATCATCTTCTAAACGAATATTTGTCAACTAGTTTAACACTACCAGTTCTTCCATGTTTTAATTAGGAATATATAGTATCTATTTATTTTTGTAAAATTGTCACAGAAAAGCCCCTCTTGGGGAGTTGTCAACAAAGTATTGTATTGTATTGTTCACAACTGGATTATCAGTACAGCTGTACAGCCGTTAGCCTAGTTATATGCCTGGCAACTGTAGAAAGTCAGCAGCATTTCCCCAATTGAGCATAACAAAATCAGGGATGTTTCTGAACATTTGACGACTGTTAAAAATGTAGATATTGACACGGAAATCAATATAATCCTTTCAAGGGCACAAATCTTCAACCATGATACAGATGACCTGCAACTGTACACTATATGTCCAAGACATAGATTTTTGCTTGGAGGAGGTTGGTATTCAAGATCTGTTTGTAATCATCCAAGTCATACTGGAAAGGAAAAACCAGATCGCCAGGATTCAAAACTAAGAGTTTATTGTTGTTGTTGTTGTTGTTGTTGGTTCAGGTAAGGGAGAGTTTGTTGTTGGTTCAGGCTTATTAAGCAAATTCCTTCAAATTTAATTGTAAAAAGTTTAATAGCCCCCTTCTAGCCATTTATTTATACAGGGTGTATAAAAAAAAATGTAATCGAACTTCAGCGTGCTATTATATCGGCATATGAACAATTGGTTTTCATATGGAGAAAAAATAAGCATGTACAAGGCCGATTAAACATGTTAGTCAAAATCGCATATTTTCACCCCTGTGCCTAATTAAAACAATGCATAACAAAAGAAAAAGCAATTAATCATGAACGTGTCTAAGATTTATTCCTACTTAATAATAATTATGAATATGTGCGTAGTTTAATGAAGTGAAATTCATCAAAACTTAAGTCCCACAGGGAGTTAATTTTCAATGGTTTTAGACCCTCAGCGACATTTTTTATCGGATTCGTATTTAAGTTCTTTGTATGATTGCACGGTGATAAAATATATAACACTTTTTGTTTGTGGAAACACCACGTAAATGGATTAAGATTCGTATTTGGATTCGTATTTGCTCATTTTTTATCCATTTGGCATGAAGATATCATTCAACAGCTAAAAACATGGTCTTTCCGAGTGTGAAAAATCTCGTTCATACGCAGAGGAATTCAGACGCAATAGTGCGCTGAAGTTTGATTACCTTTTTTTATACACCTGTACCAGGGCGAAGGGAGAGAGGGCGTAGAAACGGCCATACATCGAGCGGACCCATCCGTGATGCGGACTTCACGGGGGGTAAGACGTTCTAATTGTAAACAAATATGGCTACGCGTATATGACCCATCAGAAGGTATGCTGAAACTATTGCTTTATAAAATATTACTTGTGTAAAATTGATATGTTTTTGTTACTTTCAGCTATTATAAGAAACTTAAAGATAAGATTTAAGTAACAAAAAACTTTATTTCGGGTGTTATTTTATTTATATACTCTGTTTAATTTGGTGGTTAAAAATGGCCGTCGAAATGTTGTCCGAGAGCGTTAGCGCGCGCTGCTTCCTGATAAAAAACCAATGATTTCCAAAACCTAAATTATAATTTGTTATTAAGTTATGATGAAAACCTTTGCGTATACAAAATTATAGAGTGAGCAAACATGAGACAGATAGGTTTGAACCTTTCAAAGTTCGAGGTCGAATTGACAGTTGAAATAGTACCAAACTCCAAGCTGAAATGTGCAACTAAATCGTGTATATTTTTGTCAATTTTGTTCGCTGGCTTTGTTAAATTCACTTGCAATGGCTCGACATAAGTTACAACATACAAACTGAGCAGAGCCCATGAAAGAGCTATCCATAGTCCATACCCATACAGTCATTCAGCTTTGTTGCCCATTAGTTGAAGAAGAATTGCTATTGTATGCGCTTGTTTGCACTTACTTTCCTAAAAAATGTCTACAATATTAAGGCTAAATAGCTGAAAAATGTCACCCAATAATCCATGCAATTAAAAATATCTATTAACTTCAAAAATCATGATTTGAGGAATTATATCTATTCAGTAATTCAGGCAACCCATAATTTAGTGACAGGTCTTGGCAAGGTGAAAGCTGAAAGGAACCCTTAAGATGGGTGTACTACAAAACTATATTGACTGAAGTTTTGGAAACATTTAACTAAATTTTGAAGGATTGACTTGCAAACTGTGATTCAGTATCATGGAATTTTACACTTCTGGAGAAGTTGTGGCTCTGTTAGTGCCATTTCTTTCATTGTTTATATATCTTGCTTTTAAGCATTGCTCACTTATAAAATCTTTCAATTCCTTAGGGCCTGTTTATATGATCCCGCCTAGATGGGATACTTGCCTAGTGTTTATATGGACAAAATACATTGCCGGGATGAAACCATTCGGTGCTTGACATCATATTTTTGTTGCAATAAAGGCATTTAAGCATGCCCAAAAGGGAAAAATTCATTCCGTCTAACCGGGAATTTTTCATCCCGGCTAGGCGGGATGAAGTGTTTTTATATGGGAATTTTTCATCTCGCTTAGGCAGGATCCCGGCATCTGTTGCCGAAATCCAGTCTAGGCGGGATAAGTGGCAGGATCATATAAACACTCTTTAGCATTTGTATTACGAGCGGGATCTCAGTAAGCATCCCGTCCGCCTGGCCGGGATCATATAAACAGGCCCCTAATCTCATCCC